AGAAGAAGAAGAAGAAGAAGAAGAAGAAGAAGAAGAAGAAGAAGAAGTCTGAAAAGTGAACATTTCAGTATCCAGCGACAGCAGCATAGAAAAGAATGAACTGGAGAAAAATCATCAAATAGAAAGATCTGCAGATAGAAGCAGAATGGCTGTGGCAAAAGAAACCCAAAACATCTGAAGCATTACTAAAACAGCATCCTCGTTGACAAATTCACCACCAGTCAATTGCAAAAGGCAGCTTCACTTGGAACAGCTTACAACCTTGCGATGGTATCTTCATTGCCATCAAACAATATGTGCCTATCCCAGTTCTTGGGAAGTACTCAGTAGGTGGATAAACATGCCTTTCTTCATTACAAACATAATGATTAGGTTAACTGTGAGCCACAAGGTAAATACTTCATCCTAACCAGTTGGTTTTAGTTTAAAGCCTTAACATAAACCACTCAATTTAAGTGTAAATCTCTTCTTTGAGATGTCAACATTTAAATTTTATAAACCGACTAAAAAAACAAAAATAATAATAATTATGCTTCTCCATTCTGTGAAATGTTTCTAGGAAACAACCGTCACATGATGTGTCATTGTTAAAATGCTGTCAGAACTAAATTGGAATAGGGTTTTAGCAAATATTGCAACATTGTTGATACAACTTCTTACTGCTGGCTTTGCTGGAAATACCCCATTTTTCTTAGCACAGTGCTGTCTGTTGCTTTGATGTTTCCCACCCTTTTACTTTCTTAGATTCAGACATAGCTGTTGTGCCTTAATCAGTAAAATACGTTCCTTAATCAATTATTTCTCTCTCTCTTTTTTTAAGCTGTGAAAGACCCTCTGGCAATTGAAAGAACAAATCTATTGAACATGGCTAAACTGAGTATAAAGGGACTCATTGAATCTGCTCTAAGCTTTGGGCGGACCCTTGATTCTGATTATCCACCTCTCCAGCAGTTTTTTGTTGTCATGGAACATTGCCTCAAACATGGCCTAAAAGGTATTTTGGGGCGATTGTCTTTTCATCTCATTTTTGTTCTATATTTGGCCACTTGAGAAGGCCAACTTGGACTGGCTACATTATTTGCATTGAGAAATAAATATTGTTTTAAATCACAGCATATTTTTCTCAGCCTCAGCAACTTTAAGATATGTGGACTTAACTCCCAGAATTCCAATTACTGAGATTAAGAATCACTGGTCCAGTGTGTGTGCTAGGCTACCCGTGTTCACTTTATTTGTCCTGCAGCTCTAGTGCAAACTTTCCTTTCTAAATCAATTCAGAAGGAAGCTACGACTTCCTCTGTTGAGTTCATCAGTATTCAAGAGAGCAATTTTTACTTCATTGCCAGTTTTCTTCCTTGGATTCTGAACAACTCATAAATTTGGTTCGTTTGTTTTGACCAGCTTGTTCTCATTATCTGTTGGCTGTCTAGAAGTGTGATCTGGACTTTTCCTTACTTTTTCTTCACTTGTTATTGGGTACAGTTGTAAGTATAGTTTCATGGCTGCCTGCAGTGGCTGTAAAAAAATAATCACTGACATGTCATTAAATTAAGCTTGTTGATGCTCTATAAATAGAAAATATTAATGTTTATAAATATCCCCAAGACAGGTAGTCCTCAATTTACAATCATTTGTTTAATGACTGAAGTTACAAAGGCACTGAAAAAAGTGACTTATGACTGTTTTTCACACTTAATGACCGTTGCAGAATCCCATGGTCACATTGTCAAACTTCAGACATGTGGCACCTGACTTGTATTTACGACTGCAATGTCCTGGGGTCATGTGATCACCTTTTGCAACCTTCTGACAAGCAAAGTCAATGGGAAACCCAAATTAACAACTGCAGTGATTTACTTGACTAATGAGGCAAGAAAGGTCGTAAAAACGGGGCAAAACTTACCTAACAACTGTTTTGCTTAGCAATGGAAATTTTGAGGTCAGTTGAGGACCACCTGTATTTGTATGTGTCTGTCCAGTAAGTATCTCAGGTGCCTAGAGAACAAATGTATTAAATGTTCCAAGAAAGTAAAATAGAGTGTAAAAAGTCAAAATGTGTTTATGTTTCCCTCCTAGTAAAGAAATCTTTTCTAAGTTATAATAAAACAATATGGGGCCCTCTGGAACTTGTAGAGAAATTATATCCAGAAGCTGAGGAGATTGCTGCTAGCGTTAGAGATTTACCTGGTCTCAAGTAAGTTGTTATACTGAAATATTTTCTGCACTGCTTTCCATACATAAATCATGAGAATGAAATGAGCAAGAATCCATCTTCCACAGTTAAAATGTATGTAACTTTTCTTAACCTTATTGAATATTCTATAGGTGAAATAACATCGTTATTCAAAATTGTAACAAAAGAAGACATGGGGTTGTATCTGATGGAAATAAGATAAGAAAGAAATTCTACCAGGTTCAGATTATTTGCCCATTATTGTCTAAACTGGAAGTAGTTTTTTTCCCAGATTTTTGAGGCAACGTTTTCCAATTAATACCATAAAGTGCCAAAACTTGAAGCTGGGTTCTTATTCATCCAGAGGTCTGTTCTCCCATTGAGCTGTATTCCTTTGCAGCTGCCAGTACTCAAAAGGGGACCCGACAATGGGAATATTCGTATTAAAGTACAATCCATCAATTTCTGACCCAGCAGAAAAGTTGGTTGTGTAAAATTTGCTATTCTGATTCCTGAGCCCTCTACTACTCTGGTATTAAGGCCAGACACCGGAGCGTTCCTGTTTTAAAGGGGGATTTTATTGCATGTTTCATCTGACATTGCCTGATGGGGAAGCAACCATCCATCACTCCCTCACACGAGGCAAGCTGGACAGGTGCTTGAAATGGCAGATCCCTTCATCCCTCCAGTTGCCCCAAATAGCCACCTGACAGGTTGTAAATGGGAAAGAGGGGTGCTAGATAAAGTGGAAACGAGGGAACTCCATCTTTGATTAGTGCTGCAAGAGAATGCTGGCAGCAAGTCTGCTTGTCTTTTTGTGGTGGATCTCAGCCCTGATCACGAATGGAACCACATTTCTGGTGGATTATGCTAAAACTGTGTTGAGAGAAAGTGACTATGAGGTGGTTCGGCCATGGGGTGGAATATGGACGTGGCAGGAATATCTGGTTACCAGAGTAGGTCTACAACACATGAGGATGAGCCCAGTAAAAAATGGTTCTTATCACAAATTAATCAGGGGAAGATTGTAATAACTAGAATATTAAATGTGATGTGATTCAAAAGTGCTATTTTAAAACCAGGAACTGAAATAAAGAATTATTATAGGTACCCATGTCATACAAGACATTCTTGGTGCCTTACAAGAGTAGACTTAATCTTTTTGAAGCTTTCAGTAGAAATTATATTTTTGAAGTTCTTTGAATGCTTTCAGTAGAATAGAATCCTATGGAGCAGGAGTCTCCAACCTTGGTAACTTTAAGCCTGGAGGACTTCAACTCCCAGAATTCTGAGAATTAAGCCACCAGGCTTCATGTTGCTAAGGTTGGAGACCCCTGCTATGGAGTATAGTCTCCTTTGGAAGTCTCAGTGATTCACCCCTAGATGGAATGACCCAGCCTTTGATCTTACACTAACTGCCCATTGCAGAAACCGTAGGGTATTCATTAATCTCTTCCTCAGAAAAGACCAAAATGGGATGGCATTTGCCCAAGACAAATACAGAAGAGGACATAATCTTTTATTTTGTGTCTTAAGATTTTTGTCAAGTAAATGTTTAAATCAGAAACTTTTTGTTGAGAGTGTAAAGTGGCTAAAGTTGAATATAAAATTGTTAAGAACCCTGTCCCAAATAAAGATAGACAATGGCTTAATCCCTGTCTCTTTATTGGAAGGTCTGTTGAGCAGTGTTAGAAATGACAGCTCTGATTAATTTGTCTCTCTGCTATGAACTGTTCCTGTTTTTAAACCAGGACTTCATTAGGACGTGCTCGGGCTTGGTTACGTTTGGCACTTATGCAAAAAAAGATGGCTGATTATCTCCGATGTCTCATCCTTCGGAAAGATCTCCTCGGGTGAGCCCTTATGAAAAATCAGTGCTTTGATTGTGAATTGTGCCCATTTGATTGCATTGTATTGTAATTCGAACTTAGCTAAAATATTAATTTTCTTAGCTAAATAAAACAGCTGACATTACATTGCTTCTAGCCAGAAGCATTTCACTTTTCTTCTGAATTATAAATTTCAATAAAATGTTCTGATTTATTGACCTGACATCTTTATTTTTAAGTTTTGTTAGAACAAAAAATAAAGAGGACATTCTAATGATTATTCAGGTTTTGACAGTAGTCTAGCATAAACCAGAAGTCAACAATATAATGCTTGTGACGTTCCCAAGCAGCACTTACCACAACAATGGCAATAATGTATTCTTTTGCTGTTTAATATATTCTGCAAATTTACATCATGCTGCCAGCTGTTGGAAAAGGTGCATACCTAGGATATACAAAATGCACTTGCATGCTATTTAATTTCATACTTGCAGAACTAAGCTTTTTTTTTAAAAGCAGTTTTCTCTGTGTTTTTTTTTTAAATTCTAGACAAGGAATATTATTCATGTTACTCTTCTTGTGCAAAGCCTCTGTTGCTGGGAGACTCTTTTTCATCCTTGTGCAAATATTAAATCCAGTGTTTGAAGCTATTTAAGGGTGTTCTTTCTCAACATATTATCACCTAAAGTGCTGCCAATGCTAGTTGATCAAGCACCTGCAATTGGTTGCATAGTGGGGCATGCAACCAGTATCAGGTTAACTACTTGTGTTGACATTGGATACAGCTTTAGTGACCTGCCTATGCTTGATCTTTGGTGACAGAGTCAACATGGTTAGAATCATGAGATACATATTCGTGCATCATTGGAATTAGGGGGACAAGTTGCAGAAGAAAGATGTTAGATGAGATCTCTGTGGACTGGACAGGGTTTTTTTTTTAAAGAAACTGTGAAGCAGAGGTCTCCAAACTTGGTAACTTTGAGACTTGTGGACTTCTTACTCCCAGAATTTGCCAGCCAGCTAAAGTCCACAAGCTGGCTGGGGAATTTTAGGAGCTGAAGTCCACAAGTCTCAAAGTTGCCAAGTTTGGGGATCCCTGCTATGAAGGATTCTGTCATACTGTTGAAAGTGAAGAAATATTTAACTATAGCTCAACAAGCTTTTGTAGAGGGGAAGGGGCATAGAGGAGATACGCTTTGTTTTGGACTTTGACAAGCAGTTGGGCTAACTCTAATCTTTTAAACTCCCAATTTTGCGACTTTGCATCCTTTTAAGCAAATTCTATAGAAATGGCATCTGTTTCCATGAGGAAGCCTGCTTGTTTTTGAATTGTCACATTGGGTCATTTTGACATTGGTCAGCTATGAAATTGACCAGTAATTGACAATGTCCTTTAATTTAAATTATATGAAAATGCTTTTACAGGGAATTTTATGAATACCATGCAGTGATGATGGAAGAAGAAGGAGCCGTCATTGTTGGATTGCTTGTTGGGTTAAATGTCATTGACGCAAACTTGTGCATAAAAGGAGAAGATTTGGATTCACAAGTAAGTAGATGCCACAATATTATAGAATATGTAGCCTTCAAGCAAATCTGAAGATCTTGAATAAAATAATTCAGACAATTCATTTCAACCAATCTCTTTAGGAACTGTTTTTCTCCCATGCAAACAATTTATTTTCTTCGAAGCAGTATGAAAATCTATATATTGCAGATCCATGTAATTCTGCTTCTGCAGAATACTGGAAGATTTTACAATAAAAAGGTTTCTTGACTGGAAGATTTTTCAAGTATACCATGGCTATTTTTTCCCTTTAAAAAAAAAAGTTCTATGTCCTTTCTTCAGGATGTGAATGAAATCTCTATTTTGACTTATATTTTAGATCGTAGTATTGTAGACTCGATGAGATGGCTTAAACGTTTGAATAGTGAAAAGAATATCAGTATTGGAATAAATTATAATATAATATTAATAATTATAATATAATATCTATAGAATATTCATAATTAAACTAGCACACCTTCGCTCATTTGTGGATACTACCCATTGCTCTCAATCCATTATGCACTCGGTCCATTGCTGTTGAATCTGGAGGTTTTTTAACCCCTGGGAGCAGATGCAAGGGAGACAGGTTGTTGCAAAATGGCATTGGTCAATATAATCCAACCCATTAATGTGATCAGTATCCAACCTGGAATTTCCCATTCTGCAGATTGGGATTAAATATCCAGGAGAATGAAGCTTCCTTTATTTCATTTTGCAAAATTTGAATATATTTTTTTTTGAAGGTTGGCGTAATTGATTTCTCTATGTATCTAAAGAATGAAGACGACACTGAAGATAAAGAAAGGTGAGTTTTAGTAGAATGTTTAGCACGTTGAACTAAATGGTTGAAAAACCCACCATCCTGCAAGCAAATCAAAAGTGCCCTTCCCCTCACAGAAAATATTCCTTCTGTTCAGAAGGGAATCTTTACGCGTGATTCATTTTATGTCATGTTGTACCTAATGACCTAGTTCCGACTTTCAAAGCCCTCTAAGGCTTCACACATGCTACATACCTATATAAGCACATTCTCCAACCAAATTGATGAATTGCTCTTGTTACCCTGATTTCATAAGGGGACAAGGCTGAGGCCAGAAATGGCTGGATTATGCTGTGCCTGAGACAGCCATGGAAATGTTAATCTGGCCTCTCAGGGTTGGCTTGCTTGTTTTTTTAATTCCTTCCAGTCCTTGCAGTTTTCTTGACATGTTTGGATGTGGCTTGCCATTGCTTCCTTCCTAGGGCTGAAAGAGAGGGACTAGCTTGTCCAGCACCATAACCACAAGCTCAAACTACTCTCTCTTCAAATTAGCAAAGGGCAAGCTTACTTTTAAAAAATGTATTTATCAAAATATAAAATACAAAGTAAAATGAAAATAAAGGGGAAAAAAGGGAAGTGGAAAAGGCATAGGGGAAAAAGAAAAAAAAGCATTGACTTTCTACTAATAACATATAGCATGAATTTTTTTTTACATAACAATATAAGCTAATCATTTCTATAACAACAAACCTATCTAATCAGCAAAAATCAAAGTCAAAGTTTCATTTTTCCATCTCAAGGACAAACTCCAGAAGCAATTTATTTATTTAGTAAAACTTTATGTCCCCATCTTCCCTGGAAAAGGTGACTCTTATTTGTCCTTGCTTATTTTACTGATTGTACATATAAGTGTTTTCTGCGTGTGTGTGTTTATTTTCATCTGTATTTATTTTTACTACATTCTCTTCCATTATGTAAATCTCTATGAGTCTGGAAAGTAACAATAGTAATAATAACATTTTAGTCTACTGTGAAAAAAGTTGTACATTTTGGGGCCACAGATTTCAAGGGCAAAAAGCAGAAAGCATGGAACAACTAAAAAACAACAACAGTCTTTTGTTTAATGAAAGGGGATTGTTTAATTCAGAAATTCTGAACTAATGAATGAACAGTCATCCTATCAATATCTAATACAAATCTGAGGAAGATATGGGGAACTATGACCCTTTTATCACCTGTGGACTTCAACACTGAGAGTTCCTGAGCTAGCCATGGCCCCTTTACGAACTGTAGACATGCTGGCTCAGGAATTCTGGGAGTTGAAGTCCACAGATCATAAAGGGGCCATAATTGCCCATCCCAGCCTTAGAGCAATATTCAATTTCCAATTTTTTGAGAAAACCCAAAGAAACCTTTTGTTAACAGATGGTGATTGTTGTTGATGGTGGTTATCCAGTTAATACTAGTGCTAATTACACAGAATGTTCTAAATTTCAAGCCAAGTCAGATATTGTTTTTTTTAATTTATGGAGAACATTTATTAAGACAACATATTTCTGGAACAGTAAATAGAAATTTTTCACATGCAATTCTCGACACTCAGATCTCAGATCAAATGTCTAATGAAACATGAAATATTCTAAACTAAAACTAAATTTCTTTTAGAAACGACCATGTTGCTGCAATATTGGATCAGAAGAACTACGTTGAAGAATTAAACCGGCAATTGAAGTAAGCATAAGTTGTGTTAGAGAACGGTGCCTTCTGTTTTTTTTTAAAAAAACAATTACTTTGATAATTATTGAAAGTACTAGTATTTATTGATTAATGAATAGAAAAAAGGTAAGTTGGGAAAGGCTGTGAAATGCATTTTTGGGGTTAAAAAAATCAAGATGATGACTACAACCACAAGATCAAACCCTGCCCCTTTTTCAAGTTCATTGCACACATGATTATATTTTTTCTCTCTCTGTGTGTGTGTGTGTGTGTGTGTGTGTGTGACTTCCTGGTAACTACTTGCAGTTTTCTTGGTAAGTTTTTTTCAGATGTGATTTGCCTTTGCCCCTTCCTTTCTCCCCCTCTCCCTTCAGCTAAGAGAGAGGGGCTGGCCTGGAGTCTTCCAGCTGGCTTCATGCATAAAGCAGGGCTAGAATTCAAGGTCTCCTGGTTTCCAGCTAGGTACCTTGCAGTCACAACCATCTTCTTGACTTTTAATCCCCACCCAGATAGATCTTGGGTCAGAAATATCTTAGGATAGTTTACATAAAAAATGTGCTTATGTTTTTAATCTGGGATCCTAAAAGGAATTTATTAGCTATTAAGGAGTTAGTATTGCCATGATAGCTCCCTTTTAATATGTTACTCTTACCAGGTGGACTAACAATACACTCCTGTTGCTATTGAACAGATGACATGTGGTTCTGCATGTGTTTTCCATAGGACATCTGTTAAATGAATAAGTAAAATATATTTCTTTAAAGTATTAAGGGTATGCTTAAAGACTTGTGTATCTTTCCAATTGATATGACATGACCAGGAGTGGGCTGCTACGGATTCGCCCGGGTTCAGGAGAACCTGTAGCTAATGTTGTGGCTGGCTTGGTGAACCTCCAAATCCCACTCTGACCCTCCCCTCCCAAGAGTCTCCACAGGGCCTGTTTTGGATGCGAAGTAAGTGCAGGGCCTGCGAGGAGGCTTAAGTGGGGACGGGGAAATGTACCTCCCACAAGTTTCGAAAGTCTGGAAACGGGCCCATTTCCGGCCTCTGGAGGGCCTCTGGAGCCCAGGAAAGGTAGTTTTCACCCTCCCAGAGGCCTGAGGAAAGCCTCCGGAGCCTGGGAAAGGCAAAAATGCAGGAGGCTGACTAGGCCACACCCACCATGGCCACGCCCACCCAGCAACCAGGCAGAGAACCCATTGCTGAAATTTTTTAAGCCCACCCCTGGACATGACTGTTTAAAGTTGTTCACGCATGTTGGGTTTGTGCTGTAAAACAGAAGCAGCGCTCCAATTCAGATCTCATGCTGGACTTACTCACTGTAGTAAGTGTAGATTAGAAAAAGCGTAAGGGCTAAGTCAATGTGGACAGCTTTCTTCTCAATATGAACTTTCTCACATTCTTTAAGAGAACCCATCAAGAAGGCTAATAGTAATAATTAGTCTTCTCCAAATCATAAGGAAAACAAATTAAATGTAACAATCATAGAGTTAGTCCCTGACTTACAATCACAGTTGAAAGAAAATTTCAGTTGTAAGTCATTGAAGCTATAAGTTGAGGCACCCATGAGACTGGACCCAACTTTTCAACTGGTTTTATGGTGCTTATTAAGTGAATCACATGGTTGTTAAGCAAATCCACTTTTCTGAATGGGTGGTTTCTTGCTAGAAAATGGCAAAAAATACCACAAATTGCAGTTGTGACTGGAATGCAAGGTTTTACACTTAGGCAGGAAAAAACAAAGGTAGAAGTACAGATTAGGCAAAACCTGGCTCAAAAACTGTAACTGTGAAAGGGACCTTGGAGTCTTAGTGGACAATCACTTAAACGTGAGCCAGCAGCTTGTGGCAACAGCCCAAAATGCTAATACAATCCTTAGTTGTATAAACAGAGGCATAGAATCAAAATCACCTGAAAGATAAGTACTGCTTTATAAAGCTTTAGTAAGACCACACCTGGAATACTGCATCCAGTTTATGCCACAACAAAAGGCAGAGAAGAACAATTAAGATAATTAAAGGCCTGGAGACTAAAACATACGAAGAAGGGTTGCAGGATTTGGGTTTGGTTAGTCTAAAGGAGAAAAGAAGGACTAAGGGGTGACATAATAGCAGTACTCCAGTATTTGAGAGGTTGCCACAAAGAGAAGATCACCTTATTTTCCAAAGCATCGGAGGGCAGGACAAGAAACAACGAATGGAAACTAATCAAGGAGAGAAGCAATCTAGAACTGAGGAGAAACTTTCCAACCGTGAGGACAATTAACAGCTTGCTGTCAGAAGTTGTGGGTGCTTCATCACTGGAGGTTTTAAGAAGAGACTGGACAGCAATTTGTCTTGAAATGGTAGGGTCTCCTGCTTGAACAGGAGGTTGGACTAGAAGATCTCCAAGGTCCCTTCCAGCTCTAGTCTGATTCTGATTCTGAATGCTGAAACTGGTTGCAAATGTAAGTTGATTGCTAAATGCACAAAATGTGGTTCGTGTAACTATGGGCAGACTAATGTTTTATAATGGTAGGAAATGCTTTACAGCCATAATGCATCATTTCCAAGGCCATCCTTATTTTGAATGATCATTAAAAAACATATCATAAGTTGAGAACCACCTGTACATTATCCTTTTGGATAATAGCTGTTAGCCACTTTGGGGTGATGTCAAAAAGCTATACTGGCTCAGGTCTTTCTGATTTTAAGAAGGGGTGACCATTGGGATGTATCATGGATATAAAAGTCTTTAAAAAAAAATCTGATAAAAAACACATTTTGAGGAGTGGTATCAGGAAGTGTCTTCTGATGCATTTGTTTGCTGGGTACCAAGCCGCTGCTAGGAGGCTTTGTAAATGTTTGTACTACTGCATAATTGTAGAAATAATTCTGAAAAATATATTTTTTTATCGTTTTCAGTAGTACAGTCAGCAGCCTCCATACCCGTGTTGATTCACTAGAGAAGTCAAACACTAAATTAATCGAAGAGGTATTGTCTTTCAGCAATATATATTTTAATTTCATTCATATGTTGAAATTAGCAGTCTTTGTTTGCATTTGGGATTTGGTTTTTATTTTAGTTTGGGATTTGTTTTGCCAAGATGTTTCCCTTGGCCAGAGGTGCCTTGTGTGTTACTGAACATCTGAGCAGCAGGAGGATGGTGGCCTAGTTTCTTGGATGTTCTCCATTTCGCTCAGCTGCAGTTCGCCATGAACTCCTGGTTCATCTGTACAAACATGCATTTTTTGCCATATAAGCAGGAGCATCTGTAAGGGTACCCAAAATGTCAGGATGGCCATGACCATGGCACTCAAGCCTCGCCAGAGCAGTCTTGACCTTTTTGACCCCAGCCTTACAGACAACCTGGAAATGGACCTAAAATATGTATGATAGCAGTATGGAAGGAGAGTCCACATCCAGCAATCCATAAAACATTCTCTCAGTAGCTTGAGAGAACATTCAACTGCAGTGGGGCATAACTATGATTGGTTTTGGTGTGTGTCTCAAAGGTGCTTTTTCAGGAGGCAACTGGACTTTCTTGTTTTTTCTTTGGAAGATGTTTCGCTTCTCATCCAAGAAGCTTCTTCAGCTCTGACTAAATGGTGAAGAATGGAAGGATCTATCCTGTCAGAGCTGAAAAAGCTTCTTGGATGAGAAGCGAAACATCTTCCAAAGAAAAAAACAAGAAAGTCCTCCTGAAAAAGCACCTTTGGGACAACCATGATCTGGATGACTGAGAATCCCTATAGACCCTGTGTATGTCTGTGTGTATAAATGTATTTGCAATTGTGGAAATTGCTTACTACAGGAATCCTTGTGGCAAGCTCGTTTAGATGATATAGCCCTGCCTGCTAGATGGCCTTTTACAAGTGTCTAAACACATGGCGCTCTGCATATTAAACATTCCTTAGCTATTGTTAATGTTGGATTTTAATTGAGATTAATATCTTCAGTTGCACATTTAGGATTTCTGCTTCCCATCAACTGCCAAGAGTCCTTGTTGGTTGCCAACAAAAAAGTTGAATGAACAACCCCTAGTCAAATATGCTGAACTAGGGCAGTGATGTGATCAGGAGAGAGTGATGTTTTCATGAAGCATTTTGGGTTTGGACCTTTGGTTTTTTGCTGTTTGAAAGCTTTTGGATTTTTTAATATTTGCATTCTATCTTTCTTTTAGTTGGCGATAGCTAAAAACAACATAATTAAACTACAAGAAGAAAACCATCATTTACGAAGTGAAAACACACTCATTTTAATGAAAACACAACATCATCTGGAGGTATAATATTTTGAAATAATTCATGATTTGTATGTCAAAATTTGCCATTTTTAATGTAATTTTCTATAAAAATATAATATTTAAGCATTTTATGTACTTCAAGAATCTAGCTAGGTAAAAGCTTCAGGGGGATATTTTTGGAAGATCACTTGTAAGTATACCATAGCATGAAGGAGCATTGCAAAATATATTTACATCCCCTTGTCAAGATAGTCAGGACATAGGGGAACATTTTTTTTAACCTGAGCTAACATTAGCCCTGTAAGATGAGAAAGATTTTTGTAGGCAGAGTAGAAAAATGTCTAGAAAGACAAAGTAACCACCTGCAAAATACTCAGAGGGAGTTTTTTAAAACCGCAGAAGTCACCACAGTGGTTTACGTTCAAAGAAAAGAACTGAAAAATGGTGAAACAGCCGAAACATGGGATAAAAATAAACCTTACGAAGTAGGACAAGCAAATAAAACAGACATGCAACTGAGTCAAAAGACAGTGAAGTGGCAATACCGTTTGGTATTTTAGTGGGTCAATTAACAAATGGCCCATTCCAAGACCAGAAGAGCAGGCCAAAAGAAGGACAGCCTGTGGCCATTTCAAAAACGTGTCAGTGGAGTCAAGGTTGGGCATACCAGCTCTAGGATGAGGTCTCTTTCTGAGTACCAAAGTTTTTAAGTACAATAATTTTCCTTATTTTCTTTGTAGATGAATAAAGTAGATGCCGAAGCAGAACTTCAGACATATAAACATTCCCGACAAAGCCTGGATGAAATGTACAATGAAGCACATAGACAGCTTCGAGAAGAATCACAGTTAAGACAAGTGAGTGGGTGTTATATAAATGGTGAATGGTTGGTTCTGCATATTCCTTGGAGTTACATACAAGTAGTCCTTGACTTACCACTGGTGACCGTTCAGAGGGGGACTTATGGCTCAGATTTAAAGTTCTGACAATTGGGCCTCCTCCATAATCACATGACTGAACTTTGTACGCTTGGCAACACAATTGCACATATAGCTGTTTGCAGTATCCTGCAGTTATGTGACTGTATTTTATGATACGTTTGCCAAAAATTGTCACAAGTTTTCAGCAAAAGTGTGCCCATAAAATAAACCACAAATGACCATGGCAATTTGTTTAACAACTATTGCAAGAAAGGTTGTAAAGTCATTCTGGTGACATGACTGACCCTGTGATGACCCAGGGTGGAATACAAAATAAACACAGTCACAGAAAACAGGTGAAGCCCCTTTTATTCCTTCACTTTGCTTCCAAGCTCCAAATATCCTTGACTGGAGACAAAAAACTCCCACATGAGCAGTTCCAAGAAGGAGCAAATGCCGTTTAAAGGAAAATGCCTATAAATTATAAAGAGTAAAAAAACGACACAAACTAGGCAAGATAAGAGCTTGAAGACATCCACAGATATCAGAACACACACCGGGAAGGGCGCCAAACTCACAGAGGAACAATACACTAGAGATATTTCCACGGTTTGTTTCCAGCACTGGCCTGTACGCATGTCCGTCCGCTTATTCAGTTGTCACAGCTGCAGCCCATGAAGAGGATCCCTCCTTCCCAGTAGACCACATCTCTACCTTATCCTCTCCTCTCTGCATGCCCTAGGATGGAGAGGGGATGGGCCTGGGTTCTCCTCTGACTGCTCAGCCGACCTCTGCCCTTCCCCAGCCTCCTCCACAACCTCCAGAGCCACACTTCCACTCCCTGTGGGCTGTTCCTCCTCTCCCTCAGAGTCAGTCTCCACCAGGGGCATGACAGACCCATTTTAGGAATGTTATGACATATGCTTGCAATGGGTAGGCTCAATTGCAGTTGTCTTGCAAGGACTGCCTGTACTTAGGTAGCTGCACACAGTTGTCAATCATCAATCATGCTCTTTTTGCTAGAAATGTTCAATCTGAAATGAAACACAGGATTTTGGGAAGATGTGGGCATGTTTGTTTTTATCTTTTGTAGGATATAGAGAATGAATTGATGGTCCAGGTTGGTATGAAGCATGAGATAGAACTCGCAATGAAGCTATTGGAGAAAGATATACATGAAAAGCAAGACACCCTTATAAATCTGCGGCAACAGCTGGAGGAAGTCAAAGTGATAAACACAGAAATGTACCAAAAACTGCAGGTAGTTCATTATTTATATTTTGAAACCAAAATAAGTGTAATGCAGTAGAGTCTGGTGGTGTCTGGGGGTTTAATTCTCCCCCCTAGAATTTCAGGGTCAACTGTTGGCAGTTATCCAAAGCATCTTCTCTATCTGGGCTGACAGTGCCATTTAAGCAGAGTCATGGAATGGACTTGGATTATATGATATGTTAAGCCATGCTTGCTTAGCATCAGCCATCAATAAACATGTGAACGATCCTACTGTATATTAATAGTATGGAAGCAGTGGCGGGATTCAAATATTGTTTCCACGGGTTCGGTAGGCGTGGCTCGGTTGGCGCGCTTTGCGCACGTGCTCACACTTTGCATGCATGCGTGTGCCAAACGCGTACTTTGCACAGGCAAAGAGGCATTTGCGCAGACACACGAGGCGTTCTAACTTGCCTCCTACAAGCCTGCACAATCCCAGCCGCTTCAGGAGCGGCCGCGCGGCACTATTCTGTGCCGCGCAAAGCAGCTGCACTTCAAATTCAGCAGATAAAAGTGAGTATGGGAACCAGGGAGGGCGGGTGAGCCCAACAGCAGAACCATTAAAGCAACCGAGAGACCTGGTTCGGTCTCCGCTCCTACCGGCTCTCCAGAACTGGGCAGAATGCCACCACTGTTTGGAAGCCCTCTTTGCAGATATGTCTGTGCAGCCGGTATCTTAGCTGTTAGTGACTGGCCAGCTGATAAGAGAATCCTTTGCTAATTGAACAAAACACAAGGGCTTCATGGCTGATCGGCTTCTGCATGCAGGGCTAGGGATGCAAATCCTTTCTGAAACACCTTAGCTTTGTTAAAATATTTTCCTGTGTAGTTGGAGCAGGAAAAAGAAAAACAAATCCAGGAGCATCAAAAATGAGGTTGCAGAAGCGAGCCAAGTTTCATTTTCCCCTCTTTGTTACTTCAGGTTCAGGCACTCTGTCAGACCAAAGCAAACTAACCAAAACCTAGCCACAGTTACAGACCCTGTTTCTTCATTAGCCTCACTTTGAATCGTGGACTGGATTCAAAGAAACACAGTCAGTCTCCACAAACTTAAGAGAACCTTTATTCCAGTGGTGGGATTCAACATTTTTTTACTCCCGGTTCTGTGGGTGTGGCTTGTCTGGTGGGCATGGCTTGGTGGTCATGTGACTGGGTGGGCGTGGCCAACTCAGCAAGGTGGTGTGAGTGACATCTAGTTGGTCACACCCACTCAGTCACATGACCGATGCTGCAGAGACAAGGTATTTCCTACGTACCTTCTCCCCCCTCCACCCTTGGGCTGACAAAAAAAAAAAAAGCCCAGCTAAAGATCATGACTACCTGCCGCGTCTGCCTGCCGAAGGTGAGATTCATGTCCTTCATGGCACATGATGGCTTAGTTAATAACTGCATGGCTTAGAACGGAGTTGCCAATTCCAAATATCCCAAAGGTGCTTTTTCAAGAGGGAACTGCACTTTCTAATTTTTCTTTGAAGACATTTCACTTATCATCCAAGAAGCTTCTTCAGCTCTGAAGAACTGAAGAAGCTTCCAGAGTTGAAGAAGCTTCCTGGATGAGAAGCAAAACGTCTTCAAAAGAAAGTCCAGTTGCCTTTTGAAAAAGCACCTTTGGGACAACCATGACCTGGAATGACTGAGAATTTCCACAGAGAGTTCCAAATATGCTAGTTATGCAAGAACTCCCTGTATTCTCCCTTCCAGAAAGGTTAAAGGAAAATAAAAAGCACTGGTCACTGGCCTCCCTATTCATGCACATGGATAAAACAGTGCCCGTCTTGAAGGTAAAAATTTTATTCATGCCATCTAATCAGATGCAGGATTGATTCTGACATCAGCTACATTTCCCCCTCTTCTTTGTCCTTCCAAGTCCATTAAGTACATGGAAGTGTTTTTGGAACTGAAAAACATGCAGTAGTTTTGCAGGACTGATGAATGCTGGAAATTGTTTTTCCCTGCATGGCCTACACTACAGGGCCGCTAGTACTGCTACTTTTTACAGAGATTTCAGCATTCAGAGTTGGTTCAGAGAGAAGAAAGCAGCAGAAGAAAGAGCTATATTGCCTGGAAATTACCATACTGTAATAGAATAATCTCTACTAATAGTTTTCAGATGAAGCCATGAAAGAAAAGAGTGAAATAATTGGTCGCTTGGAGGATAAAACTAGTGAGATTACCACAACTATGAAGCATCTGGAACAAAGGTACAACATCACAGTCTTTTATGCTTTTTCTTACTCATTTTCTCTTGCTCATGTTAGTGCAAAAGAAGCCGCGGGCTTATATCTTCCTCCGAGGTACAAACTTTGGCAATTTTTAATAATATTTTTATATAATCACCACTATTTTTCATGCTCAGTTTAATGCCCAGATTCATAATCCATGGCTTGAGATCAGTTTGTTAAAAACCACAATCTCTTATTTCATGTGCATTGACAAGCTGAGCGTCTGCAAAAAAAAATAAATCAAAACAAACACTTCAAAAGTCTGTGTGGCTAACTTATGATGATGGTGGTGGTGGGGAGGAAAGTAGAAACTGGGTTTGATCCAACCTATGCTACAACGTAAGTTGTAACATGGTACAGACCTTGGCTTAGCATTACATGCTAGTTTGGCAGGTTCTAGACTCAGTTACCTGCATATTGTGGCAAAAGAAATAGTACATAATTGTTCACATTTAACTTGCTCTTAACTTTAAATACATGTTCATACAAGAACAGCCATAATTCAGATGGATCTGCTTTCACATATTTCTGTGAACACAGAAGATGCCTCCCCAAGTTGCGGGAATCCTCTTCCTTTCCACTCTATATCACATTATAGCCCATTTAGCAGATTGCAGTTAGCTATTCCAAAACTTTCCTCTCTTTTAACTTTTCCATATTGTTAGCAATTCTTCCAAGCTCTCTTTGACCTAAATATATGCTGTGCTGGGGGCAGCAAAGTGTGAGGCTTGGATCTCCTTTTAAACGCAGCTGTAGACTGATGATGCATTGAAGGATGAGTTGAAAGATAGATAAGCCAGAGGGAATGTTTTGAGTCCAAGCCAGGGGTTCTTCCCCCCCACCCCCGTCCCTTTTTTCTTTTGCTAGATGTGGCCTGCACAGCCTCCTGATACCAGCAGCTATAAGGCCGTCAGAAAACCCTGGGAGGCTCAGATTACACATATATTTTGTGATTGGCTGATTGCTGTAGAATTCAAATTTTCAAAGAATGTTTTTGTTAACTCGTTTCCTCATCCATGCAGCAGGTTGCATATAAAATGGGGTAGCTTCAGAAGTAGGTTATATTTTTGTTGATATTAGTTCAATTAAAAGAGATTAAACGTAAGGCAGAATGTACGTAGGAGGTTAAGTGCTTGTAAAGTAACCCTAGAGTTGAGGCTCTAGATCAGGTCTGTCAAACTCCTGGCCCACAGGCCAGATACACTGGCCACACCCACACCCGATTTTGCAATGGGGCAAACAGTCCGGATACATCAAGTGATGCTGCTATGACGCCGTGAATTTGACACCCCTGCTCTAGGTATTAAAATTAGAGAATTGGTACGATGGTGTCATTCTGAGGGCAAGTTACCCTTTATTTCTCACTTGGTTTCATTTGATAGCAGAAATTTCTAGTAGAGAACTCATGATGTTTCTAGCCATGGTTGATTCAGAGCCTCAGATCTAAGCCAATCTTATTTCTCCCTTGAGAAGCCGAAAGTAAATTTAGGCTTATAGCGAAATAAATCATCTATCCTGATTGGAAATGTCTGTAAGTTTGTGTGTCAAAAAAATTATCAGCCTTCATCAATACCCTTAAACCAGGATGTGTCCAACTCCCAGAATTACCCAGCCAGCCATGAAGTTGAAGCCATGTCTCAAAGTTGCCAAGGTTCGACACCATTGCCCTACATCTTTTTCATTGCCTTGCACAGAAAAAGGAATAGGGGCTTTGATTACAAATTTTTGACCAACACATCCTTGTGGACACTCGTGTTCTGATTCAACTGTAATGCTAAACATATCATAGAATGAGCTTTCCAGTTTGCCTAGCCATTCATATTTCTGGGAGAAGGAAAGTGAAGAGGGCTAGAATCAGGTACACAAAAATACTTATTCCTTTTTTTTTTTGTCAAAGCTGACATCCTGCCCTTTGAATTTGCACACTACTGCAGTTGTCGAATCACAATCCCAAAAGTATGTTAAAAATGGTTGATTTTTCTAATTGCTTAAAAATGTAAACATCCATAGTCTCATCATTGTTTTCTTTTTCAATCCAGTCTATTGAACAAAAACATGATTATGTATTAAAACGTTAGTAAGCATGAATATTCTTTTATTGACATCGTTTTTCCTCTTTCTTTTTCTTTTCTCCTTTATCCCACATTTTTGGATGTTTTTATTGCCTTTGTCTTTGATTTCTATCCATTGCACATCTGAAGTGACAAGGAATTGTTAACGCAGACTAGGACTATTGCCATGACATTGGTGAAATGTTCCAGTCGTGAAGGGCAACCCCAGTACAAGCTGGTTAAAGATATATCATTTTGAAGCCATGGATCTTGCAAAAACAATTTGTAATGGAGCAAACAGACAGCAGCGCTTACACAAGGAAAATGAGCTTTGAATTATGATTGCTTAGATTTGAGTCTCTTGTCCATGTATTTGGTTTACTTGGGATGTCAGTGTAGTATTCTCATCAGACCATATTTCTGACACCGATTTCCTGCTTTGTTTTTCTGAAAGGAAATGACAATAGAAAATCTTAATTTAGCAGTTTCCTGTTGGAATTGATCTTTTCAAAATCGCAGTGTTATTTTCTAGCAAATGATAAACAGAGACTGACTTCCAGTTCAGCTAGTACTATTTTTATGACAGTGAAGCTGGTAGAAGGAAAAGGTTCAGAAAAGATCTTGCAGATTGTAATTCAACCTCTGTTTACATAGATCTTTTCTTGGTGTTTTGATAAGGACAAGAGTTAATAAACATGGTCTTCTGAATTATCTTTAAATATATTAATCTTTGCACAATGTTGTTTTTAAGAAGTGTAGATGTGCTCCACAATTGTGCTGGGAGAATTATATTTTGCTTTAAAAAGAGGAATGAAATGGGAAATCCACCATGCTTTGAACCGAAGAAGTAGTGGAATGGAAATCCACTGGTGGGCATTGGTAAAGCATAAAACCTCTTTTAGTGGAACGTATGCTTGTGAATCTACTTTGTGATACAGAAGAAAGAGGGACTACGGAAATAATTTTTGTTTATAGTTGATGGCATTCAATCATGGAATGGAAATTATTTGTTTGTGGTCGGATATCTGCCTGGGTAGAAAGGCTTTACAATTAATTTTTTGGAAAGGGGCTTTCTCCGATGCACCTGCCTTTAAAGCTGAGGGGGAATCATCCTTACAGATGAGGGAGCTTTAGGAACATATTAGCATTAGAACGGGAGTGTTGGGTGGTCAGAAAAGTCAAGATGGCAGCCACAGCCATGCCACAGAAGCCCTGCCCCCTTTTTATGAGGAATGCATGGGATGCGGTAGGGATATTGATGGCACAGTGGCTGCTGGAATTGGAGATTTTAACTAACCCCCACCCCTTGTAACAGACATCCTTGCATTAGAAATCAAGATAAAGCCCCTTTCAACCTTCTTTACTGAAGGTTTACTGGATGATTTTTACACATTTCTCTAGGGCGGAGGCCTCCAAACTTGGCAACTTTAAGACATGTGGACTTAAACTCCCAGAATTCCTCAGCTTTGCTGGCTGAGGAATTCCGGGAGTTGAAGTCCACAACTCTTAAAGTTGCCAAGTTTGGGGACCCCTGATCTAGGGATAGGCAGTGTTTTCAAAAGCAAGATTCACACACACACACACACACACACACACACACACCAAAGTGAGGCTAGTGCCATGCCTAAAACAGCTCATTCGTTGCAGAGTCGTTTCACACTTTGTCCTTGGAATATAGATAATCCATGGGAAGATAGGGAGGTTATCTGTTTCCCTTTTCCTTAGAAACAAATTTTGGAGCAAGTTGTGTATGAGATTGGAAGAGACATGACAGGAAAAGTCTAGGTGGATTGCTCTGCCAGACAGTATATATATATATATATATATTTGTGTTCTTAGCTGCTGTCAAAATTGGGTGGGAATCCAACTATTTACATCAGGGGTGTCAAACTCAATTTTATTGAGGGCTGCATCAAGGTTGAGTTTGACCTCGGAGGATCAGGGTAGGTGTGGTCAGCATGACATCACTCATATTGGGGGGGGTGCACCTGTGGTGGCCTGAGCGCTCTGCCAGTGAAAACAGGCTCCTGAGCTCTGTTTTCGGCTACAATGGCCTCCTGCAACCCTCTGCCAGAGAAAACAAAGGTTGGGAGGCCACGCGCAGTCCTTGCAAACTCCGTTTTAGGCTGCGATGGTGTCCTGCAACTCTCTAGTAGCGAAAGCAGAGCTTGGGAGGGCCACACACTGGCAGAGGCACCGCGGGCTGGTCCTTCACCATTTCCAAGACGGTCCCATGGGCAGATCTAAGCATCCCATGGTCTGGATCCGGCCTCCAGGCCTTGAATTTGACACCCCTGATTTATATAATTCCATAGATATTATATTAGACTAGTGTTAATGACTCAGAACTGATGCCAGACAAGCCACATTAGACCAGTGTTTGTCATCTGTGACAACTCGAAGATGTGTGGACTTCCAACTCCTAGAATTCCCCTGCAAGGAATTGTGGCCGAGGAATTCTGGGAAATGAAGTCCACTCCTCTTCACCTTGCCAAGGTTGAGACACACTGTATTACACAGTCAGCGACCTTCCTTGGTACGTATTGTGTTGAGCCTTAAATATATTATTTGTGTCCTAAGTTCAATCATCCAGAGTTCTGTGTCAGTAGTTAAAAAGTCAAAATGATGGTTGTGACCACATGGTCAGACCAATATTATGGTTCTTTTCATTGCCCCTGAGGATGTCCCTGTGCCCTTTCTTTCTTTTGTGAAGCCAAGCGGCCAAGATACTTGAACTTTGGTTTTTCCTTTTTAAAAAAGAAATCATATCCATAAAAGAGTTGAAATAGTCAGCACTCTGTATGTATAAAACCTAACATATGTATCACTTTGCCAGGATGGCGCCTGTTTATCATGGATCCCAAATAAAAAAAAAATGGAGAAATTTATGGATGTTTTGTGGTGATAGTGAGATGCATAATTTGAATTTGTAGGCATTGTCTGGGTCTCTCATTTGAGTTAGTGAGTTTATCCCCAAACTTTGTTTTCATTTAGAAATGTTCTATTTCCCCATTTTTTTCCTTTTATTTGTCTTCATCCTTTACATTCAAATTCTAGCTTCAGTTTTACCCAAAGTTGATTTGAATTACACCAGATTGCAGCAAGCAGAGAAGGCTCACATGGAAGCAGACAGTGAGGACAAGAAAGTTAAACAAGATTATATGAATAAATCTGAAAGTCTTCAGAAAGAAATTGCCCAAAAGGAAAACCAAGTGTAAGTAACATTGATTTTGGGGGAAACTGGAGTACTTTTAATATTTTTTATAAACATTTTAATATTTATATAATGTCAGCATATACTTTTGCTATATCAACCATTTAGAACAATACCCTGTCCTGAGCGTACAGTACTTTTCTTTGCAGAAATTTGTGTAGACTTTTAAGGTATTATTTCATGGAAATTAGTAAGGTGCAGGATTAGAAACAGGAGACGGTAACTTCTAGTCATCCCTTAGAATGTTTCTAGGTCGACCTCTCTCCCCCCAGCCCAACCCATCTCTGGGCTGTTGTTGGAAAAATTACACCCTCTGTTTTGAATTAAACAAAATAAAGGTGAGGTACCACTCAAATAAATAAATACATCCATACATGCATTTCAAGGATTGTCTTTTATCACTTTTCTTTCTCAAATGAATTCCCCAAGAACACCATGATTTCTACTCCTCAGTGAATTATTTATTCATTTTTGTCCCCCCTTTACTACTTTATAAATAAATAACATAGGGCAGTGGACCTACATAATAATCCATCCTGCTCCTATTTTCCCTCATCAATAACCTGTGAAGCGAGTTAGAGGTAGAGAGAGTGGCCCAAAGTCATGCCAAGAATTCACCATCTCCTGGTTTCTAGGCCAACATTTTCATCACTACACCAGACTGGCTGTCCTGTAGTACGTCGATAATGTATCTTGGAACAGTCATAGAATGGTTAAATGGTGAAGCCAAAAGAGACTTTGGGGAGTCTTCCAGTTCAACTTCTACTCAGAGCAAGAATTTTGGACCATTGTTGCCCAGCCTTGGTTTGAAAACCTTTGGGGACACCATGATTCCAGGAATCAGGATGCTCCACTGCATTATAACTGTTGCGGCCAAGAAAGTCCTCCTTATTTCAAGTCTGGGTCTTCCTCTATAAGACTCCCACTCAGTGGTTCCTGTCCTACTAACCTTTGGGCCTTACTGAGAATAAATCCACAGCTTCTTTCCTGTGAGAGCCTGAGAAGCATGGGAAGAGGGCTGTCACGTCTCAACCAGACTGAAGTCTATTGAGCTTATCAAGTACCTATAATTAGATTTATGCTGATTTAAAGGGGATGAAGTATTTATCATGTAGTTTATGGCAGGGGTCTCCAACCTTGGCAACTTCTTGTGGACTTCAACTCCCAGAATTCCTCAGCCAGCTTTGCTTTGCTAGCCGAGGAATTCTGGGAGTTGAAGTCCACAAGTGTTAAAGTTGCCAAGGTTGGAGACCCCTGGTTTATGGCACTGATTAAAATATCACATAAATTAAAATGAAGCTAATGCTCTGAGAACATTCTTCCAGCTTGAATGAATTTTTAAATATTCTATGTTTTTAGGTGTCAGTTGGAGACAGATTTGAAAATAGAAAGAGAATGGAGACAAACCATGGAAGAGGACCTTAAAAAGGAAAAAGAAACTACTTGTTTTCTACAAACAGAGACTCAGCAAATCATTACACTTAAAAAAGTAATTTCTCAAAACTTGAATCCTGATTAAAAACAATAGAGGGACTGGGCAGACCAGCAAAGTACCTTTGCACACTTTATGAGGTGGGTGTGAGGGGGTCTGGGTGAAGGGCCACAAGGCTGCCATACAATCAGGTGGGCTGTGGGAGACCTCCAGAGTGGCAGCTGGAAGAAGAGGGGTTTTTTTTGCCCGAAAACTTCCCTTGATAGAGGCTGCAGGCATGGAAAACAGGAAAATGTGGAAAACTGGGTCTGGATATGGCCGTTTATAAGGTGAGCTGATAAATTTTGTTTAGGAGTCGGGATCTTTGTTTCACCCAGAGAGGCAAATGAAATCGCTTTCATCAAATGTGACTATTCAGAAACAGTATACTTTTCTAAGCCTATCAACTTTCAATATTAACAATCAGTGCGTACTAGCATTTCCTTCTAGTTTTAGATATTTTACAGAATTCATGTGGGATTCTTAATTTCCATATATTGGCATCGTGCAGGGGGCCATTAAAAACAAAGATGGCTGCAACTGCACGATTGAAGCCTAGTCATGTGAGAAGAGCCATCTTGACTTTTGTTTTCAATATAGTCTTGTTATCTGTCCATTACTTTTGGGCTGTGATTCACAGAAGCTGGGTTTGCTCAAACAGGGATGCTCTCTGTTGGGAGTTTGCTAACTGTTCAGACAGGGATGCATTCTTGGAACTTCTTATTTTATTTATCTTATTTTATTATTTTATTTATTCTTACTTTTATCTACCTCTAAAAATTCTTATGTTCTATTCCTTAGCTTGAGCAAAGTTGTCATCGTTTTATCCTTTTTTTCCCTTCCATTTGTTTTTTTTGCTTCACCCACCTTGCTTTTTACCTGTTATGACTAAGAGTACAATGGCTCTCTGAAGAGGCTTCTACATACAAGGAACATGTGTCTCTGAAAAGCATGGTGGAAGATTGCTCTTATTCAAAGATGTATTTTATGTTTAGCTGCCCACAATGCAAAGTAAACATTTTTGTTGAGTTATATGGAAGTCAGTCTGTCTGTCTGTCTGTCTGTCTATCTATCTATCTATCTATCTATCTATCTATCTATCTATCTATCT